TGAGACGAGATCTCTCAGTAAGAGTGGCGCTCACCAAGGAGGCTCAAGTGGCTAGCCAGTGAGCGCCAGGGATTCACCTCTGTCTGCCTGGCTGACGCTGGTCCTGTGAACCTCTGTTCCTTCCTGCACACACCAGCCCGTGTGGTCCTATATGAATGCAAAGCAGATGTTGCTGTGCCTGCTCCGGACACAGTGAAAGCTCCTGGCACCCAGCGAAGGGTGGCAGTCCTTACAGAGAATTTACTGCCTCTCCAGCCTTCTGGCTTCCGCCTGCCCAATTTTAATCCAGCTCAACCAAACTGGCCTTTCTGCTTCTGCCACTAGCCAGGCATATCCCTACCCAGGCGTCTGCCTTCTTCCCTTCCATATGGAACCCCCCTACCCTGCTAGACTCTGTCTATCCATCCCCTACCTCTAAGTGCCCTCTCAACCCTCAGGGCCCCATGCTGCCCTCAGCCTCCCTTGCTCATCTCTCCTTCCTCACTCTGATCTGTTCGTCTTCTAAGACACGGAGCTAGGGATTGTCATCTGTTTTATTGGCTGTGTCCCTAGCGGGGGCTGACACACAGTAGGTCCTCCTAATAGCCATCAGGCAGGGTAGTGGCCCCAAGGGACTGGTGCCTGCTGTTGGGTAGTGCATTGGTTTAAAACTTGGTGATGAGCGCTGAAGCCTGTGCAGGCGACTTCCTAACACTGTGACCTTGGCAAACTCTGTTAGCTCTTTGAGCCACTTGGATGAAACCGAGCCATAGAGCAGTCAGGACAGAGCCTGACACAGGAGAGAGCTGAAGGCAATCTGGGGTTATGACTCCTGTCTATGCCTGCCCATGCCATAGTAGGGCAGTTACCGTCAGTCCCTTTTATCCCGACTTCTCAGGCGACCTTCAGCACCTGCCACTCTTCTCTCTGACTTCTCGCTCCATTTAGCTCCATTTAGCTGCAGGAAAGTGGAAAAAGCAGTTCTTTCACGGCTAAGGCAGTAACACGCTCACCAGCCCTAAGCCCGACTCCCGCATTTTCCTAAGAGACAAAGTGGTCTACACTGGCAGATGAAGGCTGCCGTCTTGTTCCCAACCTTCTCCCAGCTGTCTCAAATTGACATCACTTTGGGGGCACTCAAAGGGTTTCTGGGCTTGGCTGATAGCCTGGGAGGGTCTCACCACCAGGAGACAATTTTCCAAAAAAATTAAGTCACAGACTGGACTTGTCCTAAAGCAGTGATCTCATAACCCCCGTGGCCATTCCAGGAGCAATGGGACACCCACCAGTTAGGATGACCAAACCCTGAGGCCACCTCCTCTTCACTTCTGAGACTCTAGCACATAGGGTGGCCTTTTCTTCTTGCCCCGACTCCCTTCCCACCTCAGATACTTGACCCAGATCTGGACAAGGCAAGCAGTCTGCCTTCCCGCAGCATGTCCACCTTCTCTCTGGTCACGACAAAGAGAGGGTCTGGAGGACCTCTGAGACCAACAGGCAGAGGCGGCAGAGGCGGCAGATATACTTTGTGAGGCGAGAAACGTAGGCTCCACAGAGCACAGGAGCACGTAGCCAAGCAACCACACTCACAGGAAATATCCCACCCTTCATGTAGGGAAGGCTGGCACAGCGGCTCTGTGCATGATGGAAGGGTATAAGCGCAGCGAAGACAAAGGTTGTGTCTTTCCATTTGGGGATCTGTTCTCATCTGCTCAACATGCAGGGCACAGCCAGGGGCAAGGGTGGAAAACACACCTGTCAAAGGATGTTTCCACAAATACAAGGAGCCCGGGCCTGAAGTCACGTGGCTGCTTTTGTGATGCTTCTCTGCAGTTCTTTACACCCAGTTCCCAAAGTGGTCCATCGCAAGAGTGTGTTGCCATGGCAACAGGCTCCATAGGGGAGCCACTTGGCATTACCCAGAATTCACATCTGTGCTTGTTTCTCCCCTCTCTCTTTATCCGTAAGTGGAAAGCATTCCTGAGTGAGTGAAGCCTCTCTCCACCTGACAGTTTCCTGGAAGGAGAGAAGAGGAGATGTTGTTCTGGGGGTTCCATCCACAAACTCCTTTTCTATACCCTTCCTTAGGGCTGACATGCATAGCCCTGGAGAGGACATTGATGAGGCAGACAAAAGAACTAGTTACTCCTCAAGGGAGGGCTGAGGCTCCCCATGACACCTGACCTTTGTTTCAAAGGCGCTCTAAAGGCAGGCAGTTCTCCTACAGGCTTCTACAAACCAGCTGACTGCGGAAGGGTAGAGGGGTGAGGGCCAGCGATGCCGCAGGTGAGGCACGAGTCTGTGCTCCCAGCCTCTGCTGCACACCCCAGACCAGTCCTTAAAGCCCTCCCCAGCCCCTTTCTTCCCTGTTTTAAACTCCTTCCCTTATCAAGACCCAAAGCTAGGGATGGATGAGCAGGCAAGGCCAAGGGGAGCCTGCTCCGATCGGGTTGGAGGTCAATGCCAGAGTGGCCGGGCCCCTCTGTACCACCTCTGGCTCTCCTTTACAGAGTCCTGGGAGTCACCAACAATGATAGGGGCTAAACCTGCCCACCTTCTCCTCTTGCTCTTCCTTCCTGCAAAATCAGCATCACCGCATTTCCACCTGTGCCCCGTACCACACAGCAGAGGTGCCAGTTGCTCAGACTTGCTGTTGGTAGGAGAAGAGAGAGAGACTTTCCATCTATTTACAGAACAGGATGTAATTGTGTTTTATTTTTCCTTCTCCTTGAGGGCGACTCCTAAGGAGCCGGTGTGGTATGTAGAAGAAAGACCTGACCAGCGAGCGTGTCCATATTTAAATCGAGCAAACCCCTGAATTCTCGCCTCACAGTCACTGCATTTTTGTTTGTTTGTTTTTGTTTGATTGTTAATTTACACAGTCACCTTCCTCTCCCATCATCCCCTAGGATGACAGGGAAAGATCCAGAAAGCCAACTTACATCATCGCTTCCCTCCTGGCAAAGGGCAGATATTCAGTGTCATTGTCAAAAGCAAAGATAACAATCACATACCTAGAGCTGACCAGTTGGAGAACCAGGATTCTCTCTGAGAATACAGACAGCAAGGGACACTTTGAGGCCCATGGCCCCCAGTGGAGAAGAAGACAGGGGGGACAAGACCTGCTGTGTTGAGGAGGCCTCTGTAGCCTGAGGAGAGAGAGGGAGGAAGCACCAGACTCTTTATTTGACTTTCACCAGCTCCATCCATATTTCAGTCAAAAGCTGCCCAGAATGGCTCATGTGGGCAGACAGGGTCTGAGTCAGCCAGCCAATAACAACTACAGAGTGTTCCCTGGGCACAGAGCTAGCAGCTTGGAGCTGTGCTACTGGAAGCAAGAAATACATGGTTCAGTCCTGCCCCTGTGGAGAGGCAGAGCTGAGGGCCACGGACCAGAGGATGCTCCTGAAGAAGAGTCTGAAGTCCATTAGCACAAACCAAGACAAATGAGCAGGAGGGGGCCAGGCCTAGACAAGCTGCCTCCCTGCCTCTGCTCTGGAAGGAAGGAAAGACCAATGTGTCTCTTGTGCCCAGGTGATACCGCATACCCAACATTGGCAACATCAGGATAAGGGGGGCCTCTCAGCAAGAGAGGCCTCTCAGGTTCCATCCCTGGACCACCATCTCATTGCTTTCCCTGGAGAGAGGTGAACCAATGTCTATTCAGCCCAGAGAAGGTGCCCACAACAGACCGTTAGACCCAGTTGGGAGGACAATTCCACCCAAGTCCAACCTAGTGAGTCAGGAGTTTATTTGGCTTATTTAAAGGAACACGCGGAAGGGAGATCTACAGCAGTATGGGTGACTCAAAACCACCAGCGTCACCAAAAAGTCCCACGGAAGCCGAATTATTGAGTGTGGCCCTCAGTTAACCATCTACCTGCTGGGTAGCCTAGCACCACCAAACATCATAGGCAGCTGGGAGCTAGACAGGGTAATGACTAGGACTCCAGGTGACAGTTCCATGATCGCCTCTCCTACTTGGCAACATTAACAGCTCCATTACCATAACCACAAACCCAGGCATCACAATCCCATGTTTTGTTGCCATGACTATGCAGCCAAGGTTTGGTATACCTTACAATGACCAACGTTATGATCGTATTGCGATAAGGAAAAGGTTATACGACGGCCATTGTGTAAGGAGGGAAATGAGACTAGGAGCCAGAAGACGGAGGTAAAAGTGGGGGATGGTGGACCAGGGGGAACCTGAAGAAGGGAGCCAAGAAGGGGCCTCACGGCTTAATCTAGAGTGAGGCGAGAGCTTCCGGTGAGACAAGAAGGCAGAGGTTCTCTTACCAACGTGGCCACCACTATCCTCACCCTGCCCTAAGCTGCTCTTTCATTTGCTTCCGGTGTCCTCCACTCAACCCAGCTCCTAGAGGGTCCACCTAAATCAGAGTCAGACACAATCCTATCCAGCACCACTCAGCAGCTCCCTTATGGCTCAGTGTGAATCCACGGTCACGGAGATCCGATGCCACTGCCTCGTCTACTCTTACCAACCCACTCTCCCCAAAGGCTTGTGGCCTCCTTGCTCCCTCAATAAGCTAGAACCGACTTCCTCAGGGTTTGTACTGGCTGAGCTCTCATCTGTCTAAAGGGCTTGTCCTCAGAGGCCTCTGCTGCTGGTTCCCTTACCCACTTGAAGTTCTTGCTCAACTGTCACCTCTACTAAGAAGCCAAGAAGCCCACTGATCCCTGCTCAGAGATATGCCCACCATCTCCACCTGAGCTCCCCATCTCTTTGTGTGTGTGTGTGTGTGTGTGTGTGTGTATGTGTGTGTGCACATATGTGTGTCAGGGGTGGAGGTAGTATGTGCATATAGGCACAGTGTGCATATGTGTATTGTGTGTGCGTATGCAGAGGCATGACAATATGAATACATACATGAAGATAAGGGTATATACAAATAGACCAATTCTTTATTTATGAATAGGGCTGCCAGAAAGAGTGGACAGTTGCATTTTCATTATCATCCCTCAGAACCGAAAGTGGGTCACTGTCCAAGCATGAGTCAGCATGGACACCTTGGGTGCTGGTCTTCACATGTGTTTCTTCATTGTGGCATGTTCCTTCTGCTCCTGTTGCTCTTCCCCACATTCTCCTTTAATGGGAAGAGGGAGAGATGAACGCAGGCACCAGTGGATTTATCCATCTGCACCTTTGCCTGTCATGACTGATGGCCAGAGCGTGGTCTGATTGGAGGGTCTGGAGGGTGGACGGCCTCCCTGGTTGGAGGGTCTGGAGGGTGGACAGCCTCCCTGGTTGGAGGGTCTGGAGGGTGGACGGCCTCCCTGGTTGGAGGGTCTGAAGGGTGGATGGCCTCCCTGGTTAGAGGGTCTGAAGGGTGGACAGCCTCCCTGGTTGGAGGGTCTGGAGGGTGGACAGCCTCCCTGGTTGTTTCTGTTGCTTCCTCCCATCTGATCTTTGTGTTACTGGGGCCTTGGCTTTGCACCATCTGCACATATGGAGAATCTGAATCCCATGACTGATAGAAAGTTGAAGGCAGCCACTTAGAAAACTGCAGAGCTCAGTGTTTAACTTGTCAGCTAGCTAGCTGGGTGTGATGGTGTGTGCCGTCATCTCAGGGTTTAACTTGTCAGCTAGCTAGCTGGGTATGATGGTGCATGCCTGTCATCCCAGCACATAGGAGTCTGCGGCAGGATGATAGTAACTCTGGGGCTAGCCTAGGCTACATAGAGAAACTCTGTCTTAAAACCCCAAAAATAAAGTAACTCTGGTGTCACTCCCCTTCTCTTGCCCAGATCTGCTTGTCCCTGTAGTGTGCACATCCAGGCTTTCAGGCCTTCTATCCCAGGAGCCTCCAAGTTACTCTGTTGGGGCAGCCAGTCTGCCTAAACAGCCTGGGACATGACCTGGACTGTGGCTTTAGCTTGTTCCCCTGGATCTAGAGAGGACTCTCCCTGGGTTGGTACAACATGGAGCCTCCCCACCCCACCTTCATCGGGGAGCTCACTGAGACCTTGGGCAGCTGGACTTCCTGGGGAGGGAAGCTGTCCTAGGGTTGGGCCCTCCAGGGCTGCAGAGAATAAACAGACAGGTAGAGGAACAAGCGTCTCTGGGGGACACTGGATGAAGACCGAGGGCCTGCCTGACCCTATATGGCTGCTCTGGGCAGGCACCAGTCCCTCCTGAAGACTCGGCCTGGTTGTATTTACAAATCTGAACAAGCCCAAAGTCTCGAGAGTTTCCTCCATTTGCTGTGACTGTCCTGGATGTGGCCATCTTCCTCTGTGTGGTTTGCTATATAGGAGATATTCAGCAAACACATGTGATTGGGACAGTGTCCCCCCCAAAAGTCAGCCCATAACTGTCCTTGGAGTCCTATCACCTTCCCGAACCAAACGCTAGCAGACACAGTCCAGGCACCAGGGTGGCTCATAGCTTCGCACTGAAGCCTGGGCTGGGTGGTGAGAAGACACAGACTAGATGTGCCCTGTGCGTGCCACAGCCTGCCCTTCCTAGTTCAGACAGAGAGGGCATGCTGGGCCGAGCTGATGGCTAGTGTGCGTCCTGCTTGACGCTGCCTGCAGTGTCATGTGATTCCGGGTAGTCCCAGGGTATAGGTACGTGCACGCCTGCCTTTTCCTGCTCATGCAGAGTGTCGTTGGGCTTAAACATCAAGTCTCTAGGCCAGTCACAGGGATGATTCTCGTACTGATAAGAGAAATTGCTCACATGGTCTTTTGCACATGAAGTTGCAGGCCTGGCATGTGCCTGCAAGAAACATCGTGGTTAGCAGCCCTGATGGCCGCAGATTTGGGCTGCAGCTAAGCAGCATGACCAAATGGGTAATCATCTCATCCGCTCTGCAGGTACTCTTCTTGAGGACAGTGGACTTCAGCTCTAGCGGCTAGCTCAGGCGACTCACATGACTCTGAGACTACCTTATTTACAGTGTGTGTATGTGTGGCCTGTCCAAGCTCTCCAGATTCCTGTGTGTCTAGACTTCAAACTAGCTTTTGGCTAGTAAGAGCATCCAGGCCCTGGCCTCAATCCTGCAACCCTGATTCTTAAAAGGATCCTTTTGCAACTCACCTGCACAAATAGAGTCTTGAACCCTCTGCTGCAGACGTAAGAGGCTATCGTGTCTCTGAGTAGCCCCAGTTGACCCAGTGGCTTGGGTGAAGCATTGTATGTGACACCCATCATGTTTCCCTCAGTGGCACAGATACCTGCTGCTTGAAGAAGCCTCAAGGGGCCAGGCAGCCTAAGAATCAATACAGTTACATTGGCATTGTGGGATGCATTTCTTCTGGGAAGGAGCCAAGGCCTCGGAAGGCTGTGAGTGGTGTGTGCAGAGAGGTAGTCCTAAGGAGTCAGTCAGAGGATGCTGGAGAAGCAAGTGTGAGAGCCAACCATGCCTCTAGTGCTTGCCTACGTTAGACAAGCAGTTGAATAGCTGCAGGGTTCCTGCATCTGCACCATGCATACAGCCATACGCACCCAGGTACAGCAGGGTGCTGGCGGTCAGGAAGCAGCTATCTGGATTCACGCGATGAGTTGAGAGCTGGGGAAATGGCTTAATGATTAAAGCTGCCACACAAGCGTGAGGCCTTGAATTTGATCACTAGCCCCCGCTCCCCCAATACACACATACCGAAAGCTGGGCATGGCAATGTTTACCTATAACCCCAGCACTAGTGAAGCAGAGACAGGGGATTCCAGGTCAGCCAGTCTAGACAAAATAGCAAAATCCAGGTTTGGGGAGTGAGCTATCCCAAAAACAAGGTGGGCATTTGTAGAGGAAGATACCCAACACTGACCTTTGGCCCAGTATGCACACGTACAAACACACACACACACACACACACACACACACACACACTCTTTAGCCAATGACTTTTGAGGCAGCGAGTCCTAGGGTGTGGTCTTGTCTGCCTACATGACAGTTTATAAGCTGAGGGAAGAGGCCTCTCTCTCTCTCTCTCTCTCTCTCTCTCTCTCTCTCTCTCTCTCTCTTGCTTTTGCACTCCCTTGAGTGGTCAGAGTGGAGCAGGTGGCTGGCTGTTGGTGCTCCTCACTTCCTGGGCAGAACAACTGGATGAAGGCATCTGGATCAGCGGCAGTGGCAGCATCTAACCCTAACCCATTCTGTACCGGGGAGTGTTTAACCCCTATTTTTGATACCTGGATAAATTCTTGAAAACTTTTACCAGACTCTCATGGATTCATGCGACACACACATTAAAAAGTAAACTTTAAAAAATGTGACGCGCTGTTGATTAATACAGGATCATCCCAGGGACCCAATGTGTGTGTATGTTAGACAGCTCCCCTCCTGACCACACGCAGCAGAAAGATGCAAGGGTTAGCATGACTGAGCCCGAGTCTTCATAGACTGCTAACCCTCAAGAGTCTCAGCAACCTTCAAAGCTCAAGGGCAGCTTCTGCAAAGGAGAGACTGCGGCTATTGGTAGACTCTGGAGGGTCTAGGTAATTTGGCAAGTCCCAAAGCATGGATTTGGGCATAGAGATGGGGTCAAGACCTCCCACTATTTGACTTTTCCCCACCACCCAAGTGGAGCCTTGGGGACACTCATGACTTGGGGTCACTATCTCTCCCCCTTTTCCATCTCGAGTCCTCCTACCCAGGGGTCTGGTTCAGGGTCAGCTTTTATAGGAGATGCCCAGCGGGGCTCTTTGGGAGCCTCCCACTTGGGCATGAGCCTCAGGTAATAAGGTCTTGTCATGCAAGACATTAAACACAGCTGTCTGGAAGATGCTCTGCTATCGTGGGCATCCCTGTAAGTCCCCTTTAAAGCCTCCAAGGCAGCTCTCTGTGATAAGGCCACTGATGTGCCTCCTTGGCTTGTCCAGAACGAGAGGACTGGTAACTGTTGCCTACCTGGGGTCGCAAAGCACAAATCTCTCACCAGCAGCAGAGACAGAACCTCAGAACACGGACTGATAGACAGGCACAAGGTTGGTGTGGAACATTTCGTTTCTCCCGTGCGAGTTAAGCAAGAAACCTGGGCCTCTAGCGAGAGGGAAACCCCAGCATCATGAGTGAGAAAGATGACAGGAGAACCCCGGCAAATCATCTGTAGGCACCATTCTCCATGCCGGCCTCTGGGGCGGGAGGAAGTACGCTGACCTCTGGCTCTCTTCACATGGTCAGATCTAGTTTTGCTTTCTCTTAGAAAAGGCAAGTCCCTTGGGCTCAGCCCATCTGTCCACCTGACAAACCTACCAGGAAATCACCTCAGTGTGTAGGAGAGGAGATGTCTGGTGTTCCACAGCCACTGCTCCCAGAGGCTTCCATCCTGAGTAAGAAAGGGCCCTGGGGCATGGAACCTGCACAGTGTAGCTGCGGCTGAGGCAGCCTGGCCAAGGCTCACCCTGCCATACACGCTTCCTCCTCCTCCTGCTGGTCCTCCATCCAAGGCTCTGCTGGAGAGAACACAGACAGCCCCAGGACCCCAGAACCTCTCTTGGAGGCAACCAAGGAGCAAGCTAGGACATCCAGCCCCAGAGTATATTCCCATGTCCTTCCCAGGGGAGAGCTGAACACATGGGAGGCCGCAGAGTTTCACAGGCTCAGACATGTTGTGACAAAGGCCTCTAATGTGGTATAAGGGATGTTGACTGGCTCAGTGATCTTTCTAGAAATAACCAGAGAGTGTTTCCCCCAAAGAGTCAGCCCAGGAAACACACGGGATGTGCCTGGACTAGCCGGGTGCTGGCATGAGTCCTGAAGCCAAGGGGCTCTTCTGGGTCGCTGCCCTGGTGGAATCCAGGAGCTGTCCCTGTTGTCAATATGGGATCTTTCTGTTTGGGGACCAGCTCGCAGCTGTGCTATTAATCCAGAGCTTCCCTCGCGTCTCCTCTGCGACTCTAATCTTTGCCTCCGTTCTGCTGGGCTCCTTTGCTCGGTCTGCCCCAGTTGAGACAAAGTCTTTTTCTTTTTTACTTCCAGCTTCTGCGTCCTCACTGCGCTGGTGAGCTCTGCCATGCTCTGGGGATCAAACCTGCGATCTCCTTTGCATAGAAACTGCTGTACAGAGTATGTCCTGACATGTTGACTTTTTGATCTCTAGCAAGAATGACAGCCAGTGGGCTTGCAGGCCATGGGGAGGTAGTGATAGAAAGAGGGTGTCCCCAGGAGTGGGGGGACGTCATGGTACCTGCTCTGCTCACAATATTCCTCAGAGGGACCCATCACCACCGCTTCCCCTACTGGACCCCTATTTGGCTGAACATAACGAACAACCCAGTTTTGACTTGGCATGCCTCCTAATAAGTGCAGCCTAGGCTTGGGATAAAAGCAGCATGGAGCAGGCGCAGGGACTTCTGGGATCTTCTCCCGCTTGCCAACTTTTCCCTCCTGACCTTGGGCCATGTCCCTCCTGGCAGCTCTGCTTCACTGTCTGCATAGGAAGCCAAGACACAACTGGAAAGACTGTGGGGCCGTTCTAGGTGCCATGGGGTCCAGCTGAGTGTAAGAGTCAGTGTGTTTTACAGGGAGGTTCCCAGGCTTTCCACCAACCACGTCTTGGTCTTGGACTTCCTAAGTTAGCAGCTGCAGGGCCAGGAGTCAGCCCTGTTGCAATCAATGCTCTCTAGATTCAGAAGAGGCTGTTCTGGGAACTGTGCTGGACCCTGAGGGTCTGAAAACCTGGCAGCAGGATCTCTACTTCTAAGCAAACTTTGCCTTAGAAACCCATGGCTAGCGAGGGCCCAGAGGCTTGCCTCTGGTCGTGACCTGTCACCTCCCAGGAGATGTTCCACTTTCTAAGTAGGTGAAAAACGAACCTAATTTAAAACATGGTAATGTACTCTTCAGAGTCCCCCCTGGCTGCCACTCCACACGGGAACAAGGACACACTGGCTCTCATGGGGCCTGCATCCCTGACAAAGGCTACTTAGCTCCTGTGCACCCCGTACTGCCTGGGCACGGGGCCGGATCGCCACTAGATTGCGTTACAGCAGTAAACAGAGCCCTCCCAGTGGTGGCAGTGGCAGCCATGATGCTAGGTTTGCCTTGGTGTCAGGAGGGTACCCAGACCACCCCTCCTGGCCCCCTGGAGCTTTCTCAGAAGCACAGACACAGGCCCAGTGGAAAGCATGACCGGTTTCCGTTGGGCGTTAGGCACTCTGCAGTGCCTCAGGAAGAGAGTGAGAGAAGAGAAACAAGACCTGGGAACCAGCCCCACTCCCTCCCACAAGGTGCACAGTGAGGCCTGTTTATCCCTGCAACAGTGACGGCAGCAGCCTCAGCAAGGAGGAGTCCTCCGCCTTCCTGCAGGCCCCACTGGGTAGGTTAACTGCCTTTCTCTTCTCCGCTCCCGGCTGCACATCTGGATAAAGGCGTGCCTCTCTACTTTGTTGTGTGTGTGTGTGTGTGTGTGTGTGTTTTAAACTTTCTTTTCCACTGCCATAGTAACCACTGCGTGTTTGGCAAAGGGACGGAGGAAGGAAAAAAAAAAGCAAAGCCCTGGGAGGAAAAGAGCTCTGAGCACAGGGCTGGCAGCCGGCCAGGGTAGTCACGCTGTGGAGCTGAAATGAGGCCTCTGGCCGGCAGCCAAGTGACAGAGAACAAAGCTGTCAGTTCCTAATGTTGGCGGCAAAGCTCGCTTGGCACCCTTATATGGTTTCCCATAAGTCCCTGCCTTGGCCATCGTCCATTCCCTTCAGGGCAGCAAACGGGGATTAGCACTGCTTCAAGTTGTTTTTCTCCCCTTCGCTCCAACTGCTCCGGTGACATCACCCCTCTGCATTCAAGTGCCAGCAGGGTGGCTTTTCTTTGCCCCGCCCCCTCCACCCCAGCCCTCCATCACGCTCCCTCCCAGTCCCTCTCTCCCTCTCCCTCCTCCACCCCCCCCCGCCCTCCCCCCCCCCCTCTCTCTCTCTCTCTCTCTCACACACACACACACACACACACACACACACTTCCTGCAGCCTCCCCTTTTCTCCCTTCCTTTTTTCTTTAAATGCAGTATTTTAGGTCATTCTTCTTGTCCGGGCTTTTTTTTTTCTCCTACTAAATTAAAAACACCCAAGCGCTTGTGCATTTAGCTGAATCAAGCCAGACGCTGTATTTTATTTTTATAACTGAATTCCTGAGAGATAAAAATCTCATTTTCCTTAGTAGGCTGTAATCAGCCCTTGCAGAGATGTGGGTTCCAACCGCCCCATCTCAAGCTTCCTTAAGCAGCTCCACGGAGAGATGAACTTGGCTCCGGTTCAGGTTTGAAGGGGCCCCGAGGCTGGTCAAAGGCTGTTTGTTCCACGCAGGCACACTCAGATCCCATCGACGCCTCCTTGCCATGGCAATGCCACCAAGACGGCTGGACACACAGTCAGTACCTGCTGTGTTCCTCCCCTTCCAGAAGGAAAATAGGTGAGATAGTCAGCGCCAGAAGCAGCTTCCGAAAAGACCGGTTTCAACTAGCGAGTGCCAGGCGGTGTTATGCAACTCACGGCTCGGTCCCTGAAAGGAATGGAGGTTTGCCGACTGCACAAATGGTCCCCCCACCCCCCACTCTGATTCATGAACTACTTTTCTGATTCATGAATCACTCGGGAGCCAGCAGGAGAAAAAATGAGTCGTATTGATCTCATTTCAGTTGAAATGGGCTCAGCAGGCCCATGGCTGGCTGAGCAAGGCTGTCCAGGGCCAGACATTCACTCCAGGCCTCCCCCTTGGTCTGTAGGCAGGTGCTCCAAGCATTCTTAAAGGCATACACCAGAATCCCTTTAAGACATGGACGGAAAGGGAATCCATCAATTTCCATTGGGGGTCCCAAATAGTTGAATGTATTTCATTTGGGACAGGAGAGGGGGCACTCTGTAGCCCAGGCTAGCCCGATCCATTTGGCACATCGCTGAAGAGTCATCTTATTTTAACGTCTTTTCTGAATTCTGGTGAGGTTTCTTGTTGCTCCCGTGCTGGGGATGGTACCCAGGGCTTTGTACAGACTCGGAAGCATCAGCAGGCTCCTTACTTTTTATTTAGAGATAGAGTCTCACGGGAGAGACTGTCACCTAATTCTGTAGCCCAGGCTGGCTTTGAACTTGCAATTCTACCTAAGCCTCCTGAGTAGCTGGGCTGACAAGCCTGCTGACCTCTGAAGTCCTCTTCTGAACCAACAAACAAAGCCCCCCCCCCCCAGCCTCTTCAGCTAAGGATTCCAGAAAATGCTCTGTCTTATGTAAGGGCAAGTTGGTCATGGCTGGGGCAGGGGGGTGGGGTGGGGGCTGAGACCATATAAAGCCAGTCTTTCCTTCCAATAAGAAATGAAGGTTTTTTTACTTTAGTAGTGCAAGAAGCAGGAAGTGAGCCTGAGGCCAGAGGCAGATGAAAGGAAGCACTCTCTCCCTCCCATTCACCCCAGCTGACGCTTGGTGCATTCCTCGGAGATGCTTCTGGTATTCCATCCTGCTGGTACCCTGACCAGCATCATCTTCTTCTTCGGCGAGTCTCCCCTCCCGCTCCTACTCCAGACTGGGAAATTTAAGACAACTGACTGAGCTGTAATACTAGTCCTTGGGAGGCAGAGACAGGAGGATTGCTGTGACTTTGAAGCCATCCTAGACTATGTAGTGGGTTCATGGCCCTTGAGACACATGATGAGACCTTAACGGAAAATAAATAAATAGGGCTGGAGACATGGTAACCTCAAATCTCCTCAGTAAGCGTGAAAACTGAGGTTGCTCCCTAGAGCCTGGGTAAAAGAGCCAGGTATGTTGGTGCATGCTTGTCGTCCCAGCACAGGGAAGGCAGAGAGAAGCATGTATCTGGGACAGGCTGGCCAGCTAGGCAGTCTCTAATAGGCAAGTCCCCATCCCCGGGAGAGATCCTTCCTCAAAAAACAAACAAAACAAAACAAAAAACGAGGTAGACAGCAATAGCTCCTGAAGAATGACATTTGGGGTTGGTCTCCTATACTCTCATGTACCCACACACCTCTGCACCTGCACACACACAGGCAGGTGTACACACACAGGCACACACACAGGCAGGTACACACACAGGCACACACACATGAAGTCACACACACATAGGCACACACACAGGCACACACACATAGGCACACACATAGGCACACAC